AAAAAATTTTAGAAAGCTTCAATATGAATTAGGAAGTAAGGTGGGGATTTTAAAGACAGGTGAGAAAAGTCTCCATAGATCATAGGGATTATGTTAATCTCTCGAGCTGGATTTTTTACAAAGAGGTTCGGGATTGACTATTAATACTAAAACTAAAAATTTATTATTGTTTGTAAAATTTTAAATTACTAATTTTTTAAAAAATATATATATAATCAAAAATCTACGGTAAGATGAGATACAAGGGAGGGGGATAAAACAAAAGAAGTGATGTATAAGAGAAGGGTGAAAAATCCCCCAATTCCTTTATTAGATTTGGTTTTTTCTTTTCAAATTAGTCTCTTTCCAATTATTAATTTATTATATTATCTTTGATATTTATAGCTACAACCCCATTTTACAATTTCAGTTAAACGCCTTTTTTTTTTTCAAGTATAATTATAAACTCAATCAAACGATTAATTCTTGTAAAATATTTTGATTAATTTTATCGTTTAGTTCAAATTTAGATTTGAAGTTGTGTTTGAGTAAAAGAACATTTCGTACTAAGGTTATTTTCATAATATATTCAAAACTTTTTATAAAATTTATATGTATATTCTTACTTTAATTTAATTAGAATATTTTTATAAAATTTGTATAGGTTTTGAATAATGTATTCTAATTACCATTAATTTTGACAAACCTTGGAGTATATTATTCTACGAATTCTATATGAACTTGAATCTTTTGTAACCCAAATATAATTTTCAGGGATTAAAAATAATAATTTACTCTAAATTTTATAATTATTACAATATTTTTTAAATAATAGATACACACAAATTGAGGTTCTTTATTAAATACATTTCTTGAGCTCTTTCACTCTCTCGTCTTCCTCTTATTTTGGCTTTATTGGTGGAGTGGTCTCTATCAAATAAGCTTAGCTTCACTCATTTGTTAAGTTTTTGTAAAGAATACACATACATATATAAGCATAAGCTAATTTAGAGAAAAAAAAAAAAAGAGATAGCCTAGGAAATAAAAAATTATAGACCAAGTAAAAAGATTATATGTCAACTCACTTTTCAATTTAGAAATATATTTCTAGTGGATTAAAAAAATAATAAAAATATAAATAATTAACTGTAAGATCTGAAAATGATATAAATTCATTATAGTTAAAAACCTTACAAATGTGCTCTGAGTTTATACATATAAAAACATTATTTGAATTTAAAATTTTTATTTTTTCGAACACAAAAAATTTCTCGTAGCACTGTGGAGTATCAACAAAAAATTAGATTATTAAATAACGAATTGCATAAAAGATAATTTTGAAAAAGAATCTCTGTTAACTAATAGTGATTTTCTTTCTCTTATTTAATAATATAATCTTAGTTAAAAATATAAATCGATAGCCTACTTTTCATTTTGTCTCATATTTATATTAATTTTTTTGTACGCTCATTTTTATTTTCTTATAATATTTAAATACTTAATTAATTAATTAATATATAGTTTTTTGGTGTTCACTTATTTATGTTGTATGTGTGAGGTGAGTTGTTTATTATTATTAAATAGAGTTTAATGTGGTCCGTCCCTAAATACTTTTGCATTTGTCATTGTCATTGTCATGGAAATTTTGTGAAGCTTTGTAAAGTTTGTATTAGTGCAATATTTATATCTAAAGTAGATGCTAAGGGCCCACCGTCACCCTTTCATTATTAAACATTTCCTTCTAAATTAATCACACTCATTTCTACCAGCTGTTTAATTTATTTATATAATCATTTGTGATGATTAATTAATAAAATTCATTTATTTTAACAACTATGTACATAGTAACTTTTATATTTTAATTTTTTATATATTCTTAATGTTTGATCATCATGTTAAAATCATGGATGAAACACCATTCCCATTTAATTCAAACATTCAAGCTTTAGTAAAAGTATTTAGGTTTTAGTAAAAAAGTTAAGCAACCACCAAATTTAAATTATGATATGACCTTAAAAAATAAATTGGAGGGTCCATTATTCTAAAAAGGTTAGTAAACTAATATGAAAAAGAATAAATACAATTACAATTGAGTTTATTATTTTTCAATAAAATTCATCTTTGTATAATATAAGTATATAAAATTATTATTTTACTCTCTAAACTATTCACGATATTAGAACTTAAACTTAATTTTTTAGTTACAATTTACTCCTTAAATTTATAAAACTGTTTAGATTTATATTTTTTTTATGAAAATTGTGAAAATTCTTTCAATTTAGAATCAAAACATTATTGAAGCAAACTTCCAATTCAAGTATTTCATTGATTTTTTTTTTTTTTGCATTTACCAGGCCAAAAAAAGTTTTCCGAGATTGGTTCTAACGTAACTTATTACAAATTTTTAAATCACTATAATATTTATATAAATTATTCATAAAACGAATTCAAACATTTTAGACCTAAGATGAATCACTTAAAATAATAAAACTATTCTTTTAAAACCAAATTTTTGATAATTAAATTCTTATTTAGTTATGTTAACTTTTTTATAATAATTATATATAGTTTTATACATTTATTCAAAAATTATGGTACAAATATATTTTATACTGTTTAGGAAGAAGGCTTGTTTTTTTTTTTTAATTTATACTGATTATCCTCTTTATATTTTATATTTTTATCTAAGTTTTTTTTTTTTGGAAAATAGAGGCATGATATAGTGTTTTATTATTGATTACTATATTTGATTAAATGTGTAAAAAAAAAAATTCATATTTAATCTGGTACGACAAATTAATTATGATCCGAATGTGTATAAATTACTTATGGAGCAAACGTATAATAATTAAAGTTTCAAACATTCAATACTTAAAATAAAATTAAAATGTATATATATATATATCAATGTAATGAGTAAATTACTTTTTTTGGAAATAAAGTTTAACGAGATTTAAGATTTAAATTAATTTATTTAATATATTTGAATTTATTTTATTTTTATAAGAAAATTCATTTAAGAGACGTCACTGTATATTTTTTGGCTGACTTAGAATCTTGTCAAGTAAGGAGATGCTAAGAAATAATTAACCACATGTTTTTCATAAACTTAATAATAAACAAAATATAATAATATGATATTATACTAAAATTTTCTTAACCTAAAGATTCAGGATCCAATTAAAAGCCCAATTGTGGGGGGTGAATTTTGGGTCAAGCACATTACTCTTTGTTGTCATTGTCAATAATTATAGTATCATCTAATTGAACCTTTTTAGTGATTATTCAAAGTAATTAATTATAATTTTCTAGTTACACATTTTTATTAGGATATTTTATACGATTTATAATTCAGTTTTTATGATATTACTAATTATGTTATTATTTAATTATTAAATGTATGAATTTTTACTTCAAAATAAACCCAACCAATTAACAATGGCAAAGATATCTTAATTTAAAATTGTGGTTGGAAGGAGTATGAAGAAGAAGGCACAGAAATCAAAAAAATAAAATAAAATAATTGTAATCCGATAGATTGGCTGTCGACATGACATATATATATACACACACATACAATATACTGGTTGTCGTCACGTGGTATGAACATATTTCTCAAAAATATTAATAAATTATAAATTCTTTTTTTTTTTCAAATATTCTCAAAAACATATTGAAGATTCTTTTTTAAATAAGTATACAAATATTTAAATAAGCTTAGAAAAAATAACTTAGACTTATAATGTTTAAGTTATAAATAGAGTAATAACACTTTATGAATATTAAGGGTAATTTAGTTAATGGGAATAACATTTTAACCACATAAAATAATTTTCTAACTCATAAAAAAAATTATATATTATAAGACTTAAAAAAAGAAATTATTAAAATATTAATAAATATAAATGTGAATATGATATATAAATTACAAAAACTTAAACCAAAAACAATATATAGGTGATTCCAAGTTCTATGTTTAATTGAATTTTAAGTATTTTTATAATTTATCTATTAAAAATGAAAATAAAAATTATAATTACAAAATAAAAAACATAAACAAAGTTAATTAAATTATTCACTTAGTGTTAATCATAATTAAATTTTAAAAATTAAATAAAAAAACAATTAGATCAAATTAAATACAATCAATAATCTTTTAATTTGTACAAAGTGAGATTGAAGGGAGAGGATTGAAAAGTACGAGCTTTGATTAGACCTTTGTGTTTTGACAGTTACAGAACATCTGCTATTGGCGGGACCCACTCAATCTAACTCCCACTCTGTCCGTCAGAGAAATCTGCTACGGCCGCTTCCACCGGCCTCACCAAATCCTTTAGAAATCAGTGGTGGACCCATTCGTCAGAAACAAACGTGGTCCTCCTGGAGTTAGCTAAACGCGACCGTTTCAACTTTAATATAAAAATATGGCTTTCATCTCTTATCAAAATAATCATTTATTTTTATGTAACAATGTTGCAGCGGTCATTAATTGAATTTCCATGAATAAAAAAAAGTAATTTTTAATTAATTATTACTTCATTAAGGGAGGTGGCTATTTTTGTAATTTTATGATGCCACCAAAACAGAAATTAATCTACAATTACCTTTTAAGCACATATACTATATATATATATATATATTTCCTTATTTTCTCTATCATTAATTCATTTTCTATTTTTTTTAATATTAAAAGATTTAGTGGTCATTGTTCTTGATTTTGCCTAACAATGAAGAAGAGAAATCCATCTACAGTAATTGCCTTCATTATATTTGTTGTGGTATTGACTGTGATACATCTCAATGTCTTCTTATTTACATCGAGCTCTCTTAAAGATTCAGTCATTAGTCAAGGTATGTATTGATATTTTTTTTTTTTAAATATATTATATACTGTAAATATCATATATATACTCACTAAAATTTAGTAAAAATTTAAACAAGTTAATGTTATTTTTTAGATATCAAGGATCTAATAGATTAAATTTAGTCATATTTAATCTCCAACTAAGTTTAGAAAAATTCGTATTCAAAATTTTAGATTTTTGAAAATTTAAAACCCTTTCAAAAAAAGAATTAAGTGTATAAATTTTTCTTTTTAAATAATCACAGCAGGGAAGCATTTGGAATTCAGAAAGCTAGATACTCATGAGGGAGAAGTCATGAAAGATCCATTTCCTCCTCAAATACATTTTCGATCCCCTGACAAGAAGAAGCAAATCAATTGCGATCGTTTTCATAAAAATTATGATGTTTGCTCCATCAATAATCGTTTTATATTGGATCCTGTTGTCTCCACTTTCTATTTGGTAGACCTCACTTCAATTCAGTCATATGTTATGGAAAAAATTAAGCCTTACCCAAGAAAATGGGATGAGACTGTCATGTTAAGAATCAACGAGCTAAAAATCACCTCAACTGCATCAGGTCCAAAATGCCAAACCCAACACGATTTACCAGCTTTGGTATTCAGTGCAGGTGGCTACACTGGGAACTTTTTTCATGATTTCAATGATGGCTTTATTCCTCTTTTCATCACTGTCAATTCCATATTTCCTGATCAAGATTTTATTTTCGTGATATCCAAAGCTAACGATTGGTGGATCAGAAGATATACTGAATTATTACGTGCTTTCAGTTTGCATCCTATCATAGACCTTGATAATGATACTTCCACCCATTGTTTTCCTAATGCTAATATTGGCCTCATATCACATGGTTTTATGACCATTAAT